TAAGGAGACAAGACGCGGTGAGGCTACAGCGATCATCCGCCGGACGGCGGCACTGTAGCCACGCCCACCTCGGTGAAGCCCTCGTAACCAGGATTGAGCAACAGTAACCAGCTGCCGACAAGGCCCTGGACAGTGGGGCCTGCCTGTCGACCAAGGAGTCGGCAACCGGTGGGACCCACCAGCCGGCGGGCCCCAGCAGTCGGCGCAGAAGCCGGAGAGTGTAGACACAAATGGCTGGGCCCCACGCCTAGCCGGATTACCATTGTACCCCCGGGGGTAGGCCTATATAAACCCCCCGGGACACCCATGCAAAGGGTTGATCCCTGCTAGTCTTAGACACCACATAGGGAGGGGAAGAGAGCGAGCCGTGCCCTTCTTCCTCCTCTCGCCGAACAGCTCAAGGAGCATCGTGTAGCTACTTGTTCATCTAGTGATCATGCGGAGACCCCGCAGAGCAGCAGTAGGGGTGTTATCTCCACGGAGAGCCCCGAAGCTGGGTAAGATTCGCCGGCGTGCATGTCTTCGCTTCATCCCGTTTCCAGGCACCGGCGACGTCTTACTGGCTCCCACAATGATAAGCCACCCGTTGGCATATGTCGCACCTACCACCCGACACACAGTGAATTATTTTTTGCTTCCAGATAAATCCGGCGAAGCTTGGGCCTCATCAACCCCACACACACACACACACACATATATATATATACACACGAACAGCTTCGATGGTGATCGATACTTGGACAGATAACTGGCAGTACTAGCTCAGTGAGTGACTACACACTCAGTCATGTACTGCAAGAAGATGCTCACTTCACTGCTCATGGCGGCCCTCCTCTTGTGCTCCTGCGCCACGTCCGTCGGCAAATCGCGCTACACCGTTGGCACGAGCGGCGTAGCCAAGGTGTGAAGCGCGGTGCCATTGGCGGCGGAGGGAGCCCATGGTGGCCGCAGAACTGCAGCGAGGGGAGCGAGGTCTCTGGGGCAGAGGGTGCCGGTGAAGGCGCCCCCTCCGCCGAAGGCCAAGCCTCCGCGGCCGCGGCCGCCGGCGTCACCTCCGCCGTGTACTCCGGTGGCAGATGGTAGATTCGGTTGATATGCTGCTTTAGCTTTTACAGTGGCCTTTTCTGTTTGCGTTGCTGCTGCGGACGTCGTTACGGCCACACGCGCATCGCCTTGTATGTGTTTCTTTGTCATCTCTGAATAAAGACAGTAAACTGACAACCCGTCAAGCCGCGGTTATTTTCTGAATTGTTGGTCTAGACCCAACGACTAAACTTCTGTTCTGTTTATGCTCGTTGAAATATATTGTCCGCTTTTCTCCGTCAGTTTAAACTTGTGAAGCAACTGACTGAAGTATAAATTTAATATGATTTCTGAGCCGAAATGTCTTGAGTTCAAGATCTTGCCAAACACAATATTAAAATAAAACGATTATGCGGCGTACATCAATCCCATGACACTTCGCCTCTTCTTAGCACGTCGGCGCGGTTTGCATAATACAGCGCACCCCTGCTGCGCCGCTCAAAGCGAATTTTAAACTTCAGATCGTGGACGACCCAACGCGCGATTAACTACGAGGGTGCAAAGTCCACGGTAGCAACACAAACTCACGCACGGATGCACTGTTCGATAATGTTCGTACGTGCATGCAGTTTAATTTTGTCTAGTTCGCTAATAACGACATGCGGCTGGATCGATGATGCATGCACCTCCACGTATGATATAATGGTACACATATATAAAAGGTTCTACATGTTTATCGTAGGATTGGAGATAGAGGGCGAAGGGGCAAGAGAATTACTAGTTACAACTACTGTAGTTTAGGAAGTTCACATAAGACTTGTAAACTTCACGCAGATGTAGGATTATTGAGTTTTCATTTCAGCTTCATTTGAATTAGCATCATCACAAGTTGTGACAAATCGCATGTGGGTGACACACCTAACCCGTATTTTTTTTAAACGTACACACTTGAAATGCAAGCCAAATGGATCTTTGAGTTTTTAAAATTTTAACTGGGCAGTTAGAAAACCCTGTAGTGCAATCTCTGGTTTACATCAATATTCGCACTACAACCCTTTCTCTGGATTTGGAAGGTAAAGCTTCAAATGAAGCTAAACATATTTGTCGAGGGAGTACATGTGAACATAAAAGCTGGGTTGGGTTAGCGTCCGCGTCCAAACGCAGTGTCGTGGGGGAGTTAGCATCCGCGTCTCGTGCGTCTCTCTGTCGGTTCCAAAGACGGCACAGAGAGGGCGCCTCTCCAATCCCGCCTCAGCCGCCGGCAAGGCCGCGGGCTCCTTCCCCCTCCGTTTGCCTTGGCAACGGCTGGATGGAGGAGCCCCAGTTCTCCATCTCAGGTGCGTAGATAGGTTTAAGGTAGGTTGGCCCGCCGGCGTCGCTACTATGGTGTCAGCGGTGTCGCGTCGAATAAGATTTCCTCAGTCCTGGCATCATCTCGGTGGCGTCCATGGCGCTGTTGAGAAGCTCGTGGATATGTGTATTCGCCGCTCCTTCCGATCAGCGAGTCTGGCGTCTCCTTACGGCTGCATCGGGGCAGCGACTGCAGCGCAAGGTACTGTGTGTGGGGTGGCGCTGTTTTTTATGGTGACGGCGGCATCGCATCCAAGAATAATGCCTATGCTTCAGTCCCGTATCAACGTCGTCCATGGCGACATCGAGGAGCAGGTGGGCCCAGTCTCCTGCCGATCCTTCCGGAAGGCAGTTTTAAGTCTATGGATGGTGGTTGTCGTCCCCGGTGACATCACCGGTGACTATGAGAGGATGGTTGTTCCGGATCTTGACTTGCGGCTTGATGGCGGTGGATCGGGTGCTCGACCTCGACGACATCGATGACTGACAGTAGCTCCGGAATTTGAGGATGATGGGGAAGATCCCCGGTCGACACGCCACAACGATAAACGGCCTCATCCTCGGCAGACTTTTTCATCGGCTCACAACGCCCTTCTGGGCTATGGTTCTCCGAATTCAACGACGTGTTCTCTCTCTCGGTCTTTCACTCTTTCTGGTCGGTTCTGTGTGTGTGTTTTATCCACAATGTTTGTGATTAATAAAACACGCGGTAATCCTTAAAAAAACTGGTTTTTTTAGGGGTGAAAAAAAACTGGGTTGAGTCCCCGAATTAATCTTTACCTAATAATAAAGCAAATTGAGGTTCTTTCGTCCATCATGGCATTTTTTAGAAAAGTCTCTCTATTTCAAAGAATTCAATCCGCAGTCCTGTTTTAAGTTAAAACGAATCGTTATTTTCGTATTTTACACAAAAGTCCCTATCTTTTTTTGAAATCAACCCGCCGTCCGAATTTAAGTCACACCCGAACCGTTATTTTACATTTTTCGAAACCCTCCCTGATATTTTAGATAATTCATCCGCAGATCATATTTAAGTCAAACAAATGCTTTTTAAAATCATCCATATCTTTTAAACCGTAACTTCGATTTAAACATGTTATATATGAAATTTGATTAGAAAAATATGTAGAATATGAATATGAGATTATTTTTACCTGTTAAGTATTTTTAAATATTATTTCAGACTATATTTGAGTCAAACAAAATGATTTTCTAAATTATCTGTATCTTTTAAACCGTAACTTCGATTTTAACATATTATGTATGAAATTTTATTAGAAAAATGTGTGAAATCTAAATATGATGTTAATTTTACCTGTTAAATATTTTTAAAATATTGTTATGAAAGCAAACTTATAATTTATAGCGCAAGATTCGGGTTTTTTTCATACCGGCGGCGATCCAAATTGCAAATAAACACCCAACTATAACCATATACGAAAAAGAAAACATCAATAACTACACATGCATACCTCTGAAAAATAGCGCAGGGGAAAACAACAGATTTCTCATCGCGAGAGTGAGAGAAAGCGAGCGAGAAAGAGGGAGAGAGAGAGGGAGAGGGAGGAGAGAGGGAAAGAGAGACGCCTCAGGATTAACCATATTCAACACACATTTTTTGTTGTTTTGTGTGAACACCGAGGCTATCGCCGGTGAGGGTGAGAAGGAGGATAAGCGGCAACACAAATATGATGCCTCACAAAAATAAAGAAGATGTGCCTATTATGGTCTTGAGTGATGATCGTTGAGTTAAGAGCGTGTGTTATGTTTTCTCTCCCGTTGCAACGTATGGGCTGTTTTGCTAGTTAATTCAACAGCTACAGCAGCATTGATTCGGGATGGTCAGACGTGGAAATCATAGGACCATTCGTTCGTTTGCTGCCGTACCTACCACGTCCAAATGTGTATATTTGTATAGATCCACTGATGCCATTTTTAGTCATCACTGAGAAAAAAACAGTCGACGAAGAAAGAGTAGCCTGCAGACAAGAACACTCTCTCCATGGCAGCAAAACCGACCATCGTCCTACTGCCTGCGTGGGGCGTCGGCCACTTCATGCCCATGATCGAGGCCGGCAAGCGGATGCTCCAATGCACCAGCAGCAGCGCCCTCTCGCTCACGGTGCTCCTCATGCCGGCCCCGACGGCGCAGGCCGAGTCCGACATCGCCGACCACGTGCGCCGGGAGGAGGAACAAGCCGGCGCCACCGACATCCGCTTCCTTCACCTCCCGTCCGTGCCGCTCCCGACCGACCACACCGGCGTCGAGGAGTGGATCTCCCGCATCGTGCAGCTCCACGTGCCCCACATCCGGGCCGCCGTCGCCGGCCTCGCGTGCCCGGTCGCCGCGCTCGTCCTCGACATCTTCTTCACCCCGGCGCTCGACGTGTCCCGCGACCTCGCCCTGCCGGCCTGCGTCTACTTCACCTCCGGCGCCGCGATGCTGGCGCTGCTGCTGCGCGCGCCGTCGCTGCAGGACGACGTGGAGGGGAGTTTGAACTTGAAGGCGCGGTGGACGTGCCCGGGGCCCCGGGCTCCCGCCGCTGCCGCCCTCCTTCCTGCCGGAGACCTTGCTGGACAAAAAGAGCCCGACCTACGCATGGTTCCTGTACACTGGGAGGCGCTACATGGAAGCCAACGGCATCATCGTCAACACGGCAGCGGAGCTCGAGCCCGGAGTCCTCGCCGCCATCGCCGAGGGCCGGTGCACCCGCGGCGCCCGGGCCCCGACCGTGTACCCCATCGGCCCAGCAATCTCGCTAATAACAAGCCCGCCGGCCGAGCAGTCGCAGCCGCGCGAGTGCGTGCGGTGGCTCGACTCGCAGCCTCCGAGCTCGGTGATGTTCCTCTGCTTCGGGAGCAAAGGGATGCTGCCTCCACCGCAGGTGCACGAGATAGCCCACGGCCTGGAGCGCAGCGGCCACCGCTTCCTCTTGGTGCTGCGCGGCCTGCCGGTGGACACCACGATGGGCGCGAGAGACCCGACGGACGCGAACCTCGCCGAGCTGCTCCCGGAGGGCTTCCTGGACAAGACGAAAGGGAGAGGGCTGGTGTGGCCGACGAGGGCGCCGCAGAAGGAGATACTGGCGCACGCCGCCGTCGGGGGCTTCGTCACGCACTGCGGCTGGAACTCCATCCTCGAGAGCCTCTGGTTCGGCGTGCCCATGCTACCCTGGCCGCTCGCCGCCGACCAGCACCTCAACGCCTTCGCGGTCGTCCACGGTGTTAGACTGTATTTATATATAGCTTCTGTATATGTCTTGTATATTGTATCGTACACCTTGATATACCCCTTATATATATGAGATAGCCACACCCTTAACGGGTGTCGTGCAGTTTCCCAAAACCTTGTGTTTAACATGGTATCAACCCTAAGCGGTCCAATGTATTCCGCTGCTGCCGCCGCGACCGCATCCACATCCGCCGCCGCCGCCGTCACGCCGGCTCCTGCCACGGCGCCTGCGTCGCCGTTCCTCTCTTCGCGCCCCCTGGCCTCGGTCTACTCCGGCCAGGCCTCGATGGCGGGGCCTTCGTCCGATCCGCCGCTACCTCCTTCCCCGATCGCGCCACCGCCAGGCCTGGGGCGCTGCGTACCCCGACCCGGCGGGTCCCTGGATGGGATCGACGCCCTACGGGGCCCCTCCTCCGCCGACCGCCGGGCCATACGGGGCCCCTCCTCCGTCGACTGCAGGGCCCTACGGGGCCTCTCCTGCGGCTGCTGCGACCAACGCCGTAGCCCCGTACGGATCGTCGTATCCGGCGGCCGCGGCTACGACGCCCTACGTCGCTGCGGCCCCGCAGTCCTACGGCGCCGCTCACAGCGGGTCGGCCCGGGCACCGACTGTGCCCTACGGTGCCCCGCCACCGCCGCTGCCCTACGGTGGATACTATCCACCTCCGATGGCCGCGTCCTACCCTGGAGCTGCTGCACCGTCCTCAACGTCGGGCCCTGGTGCATCTGCTGGATCCTCCCACATGGCCTACTACACGTCGCCTCCCGTGGCTGATCATACCGCGGCAGTTGCACCGTTCTACTTCGCGCATCTCATCCCGGTGAAGCTTACGACAGACAACTATCTGTCATGGCGTGCACAGGTGTTGCCGCTTCTCCGCAGTCGCTACCTGGAGGGCTACGTTGACGGTTCCCTGCCATGTCCTCCACCGTATCACCCGGCGTATCATGCATGGGTAGCTCAGGATCAGGCCATCCTCTCCGCGATCCAGTCATCGCTCACCAAGGGGGTGTCCTCCTTGGTTCTCTTCGCTGCCACGTCTCAGGAGGCGTGGTCTGCTCTGCACACGAGCTTCGCCTCTCAGCAGCATGCGCGCGCTCACACTATTCGTACGGAGCTGGGGGAGACCAAGCTTCTTGACCTCAGCATCACCGACTATTTCAACAAGATGACGCGTCTCGCTGATACATTGGCCTCCATTGGCCAGCCGCTTCGCAAGGAGGACTTCACCACCTTCGTCATGAACGGACTGGACGACGACTATGATAACCTTGCTGAAAATATCAATGGTCGTGACACTCCGCTTGAACCTCGCGATCTCTACTCCCGCCTCCTCGCCACGGAACAGCGCATCAAGTCTCGCCGCTCTAACCCGAGTTTTCTTGCTGCCAATGTTGCCGCGTGTGGCAAAGGGAAGCCCTTTAAGTCCTCCACCGGCGGCAAGTCAGTGCCTTCGGCTCCACAGACTCAGCGGCCACCTGCCGCCGCTGCCATGCCTCCAACTGGGGGTGGTCGGTGTGCCTGCTACCCCTCATGTGGCGTTCAGCTCCCCTGTCAGCTGTGCAATATTCCAGGTCACATCGCCTCTCGCTGTCATCGCCGCTTCAAGCAGGACTTCCTCGGCATCGGCAACAATGGCAAAGGCAACGAGAAGCAGGCTGCCTTGGCCACTCATAAGCCTGCTCGCCAAGCAGGCCACACTCCATCCTATTCCATCGACCCAACTTGGTACATGGACACGGGCGCTACGAATCATCTGACAGGCGAGATGGGCAAACTTTCCATGCAAGAACCGTACCGTGGACATGATCAGATTCACACCGCCAATGGAGCAGGTATGCACATATCACATGTTGGTCAGGCCTCTCTCTTAACTCGCACACAAAAATCTCTTCATCTCCATAATGTTCTTCGAGTTCCTTCTGCTACTCGTAGCTTATTGTCTGTTCCACAACTTACTCGTGATAACAATGTTTTCACTGAGTTTCATCCTTTTTATTTTTTTATCAAGGATCGAGCCACGAGGGACGTTCTGCTTAGAGGTCGCCTGCGTGATGGACTTTATGCACTTGATCCACCATCTGCTCCTCGAGCGTTCAGCGGTGTCCGTGTTTCGCCCACTCATTGGAATGCACGGCTTGGTCATCCTACAACTCCCATAGTTCGTAGTATCCTACATAGTCATAATCTTCCCATTGTGTCCAATAAAGATGCTGCCACAGTCTGTGATGCCTGTCAGCAAGGCAAGAGTCATCAGCTTTCGTTTTCAGATTCGAGTCGTGTCGTTAAAACTCCACTTGAGCTTATTTTTTCTGATGTATGGGGGCATGCCCAAACTTCTGTGAGTGGTCATAATTATTATGTCAGTTTTATTGATGCTTATAGTCGATTTACATGGCTTTACCTTATCAAGCGTAAATCTGACGTGTTTGATGTGTTCCTCCAATTTCAAGCTCATGTTGAGCGTCTTCTCAAGCATAAGATTATCCATGTTCAGACCGATTGGGGGGGGGTGAGTATCACAACCTCAATTCTTTTTTTAATAAGCTTGGAATTTCACATCGCGTGTCTTGTCCTCATACACATCAGCAGAATGGCACGGCTGAACGTAAGCATCGTCACATTGTTGAAACTGGTCTCACTTTACTTGCCCATGCATCGGTACCTTTTAGGTTTTGGAGTGATGCGTTTTCCACTGCCTGTTTTCTCATAAATAGGCTTCCTACACGACTCCTTGGAATGAAAACACCGCTTGAACTATTGCTTAATGAGTCTCCGGATTATACCTTTCTCAAAATTTTTGGCTGTGCTTGCTGGCCTCATCTTCGTCCATATAATAAGCGCAAGCTTGAGTTTCGATCGAAACTTTGTGTTTTTCTTGGGTATAGCTCTCTTCATAAAGGGTACAAGTGTCTCCACATTCCATCTAACCGTGTCTACATCTCGCGTGATGTTGTGTTTGATGAGAATGTATTCCCGTTCTCGTCTTTCTCCATCACTCCTGCACCTCCAGTTCCATCTTCATCTACCACTTCTCCCCTGCCTGCTCAATTTGTTGATGTTGCATACTCTCCTGCGTTGTTGCCTAATCATGCTGCAGGTACAGGTCGTGGAGCTCGTCTTGAGTTACTAGATGAACAGGAGGAGCCGTCAGGTGCACCTGGCTTGCTGCCTGGTGCCATGCATGCGCCATGCATGCCTCCCGCGCAACCGGGGTCGGCAGCCCCGGCCTCACCCGCGCGACCGGGGTCGGCTGCCGCACCAGCTCTTCCCAGGCTGGAATCGCCTGGGCCTCAAGGTGTCGCCCCCGACTCACCTGGGCTGGCCTCAAATGGGCCGGCCGTGGATGGCGTGGAGCAGCCGGCCTCCCCTGGGCTGGAGTCGCCCGGGCTGGTTTCCCCTGGACCAGCCTCGCCTGGGCCCGGATCGCCTGGGCTGGTGTCGCCTGCCTCTGTGCCGTCGTCTGGCCCTGCCTCGTCACTGCCTTTGTCGCCTGATGCCTCGCCGGTCTCTCTGGTTCCGTCACGACCGGCTGCTGCTGCTCAGAGGCCACACACGCGCAGCAGGTCTGGCATTTTCTGTCCCAAGCAACGCAAAGATGGGACGGTGGCGTGGCTTGCAGCCTGTATTGCTCATCTCAAGGAAGATCCTTCGGCTGAACCGCGTCATTTTCAGGCTGCCCTTGGGATCCCTCATTGGCGACAGGCTATGGAACAAGAGTTTCAAGCGTTATTGACAAATGGTACATGGCAACTTGTTCCTCCGGTCTCTGGTGTTAATGTCATTGACTCCAAGTGGGTCTTCAAAGTTAAAAGGCATGCTGATGGTTCTATTGAACGCTATAAGGCACGGTTAGTGGCGAAAGGGTTCAAACAACGGTATGGTCTTGACTATGAGGATACATATAGTCCGGTGATCAAACCAACGACTATCCGACTTCTGTTATCCTTGGCTGTTACTCGAGGCTGGTTTCTTCGTCAGCTGGACGTTCAGAATGCCTTTTTGCATGGAGTTCTGGATGAGGAGGTTTACATGCGTCAGCCACCAGGATTTGTGGATTCTGCTCGCCCCCATCATCTGTGCCGTCTGGTCAAGGCGCTCTATGGGCTGAAGCAGGCTCCTCGTGCCTGGCATGCCAGGTTGGGCTCTGTTCTTCAGTCCCTGGGCTTTGTTCCTTCCACTGCTGATACGTCACTCTTCCTTCTGCATCGGCCTGAGGTGACGATGTATCTGCTGGTGTATGTTGATGATATTATTCTCATCAGCTCATCTGATGCTGCTGCTGATCGTCTCATCTCCTCCTTGAGTGGTGATTTTGCGGTGAAGGATTTAGGCACGTTGCATTACTTCCTTGGCTTGGAAGTCTCTCGTTCTCCTGCTGGTTTGACACTCACTCAACATAAGTACTCCATGGATTTGCTGCGCAAGGCAGGTATGCTACAGTGTAAACATGCCATGACTCCTATGTCTGCTACTGATCGTTTGTCTGCATTTGATGGAGATCCTCTCACTTCGGATGACTCTACTGAGTATCGCAGTATTGTTGGTGGTCTGCAGTATCTGACCATCACTCGGCCTGACATCTCCTATGCAGTCAATCGTGTTTGTCAGTTTCTTCATGCTCCTCGGACTACTCACTGGTCAGCGGTGAAGCGTATTCTTCGTTATGTACACCTCACTGCAGCATATGGTTTACTTCTTCAGCCAGCGCCGTCTTTTGCACTTTCAGCTTTTTCAGATGCAGACTGGGCTGGTAATCCAGATGACAGGCGATCCACGGGGGGACATGCTGTCTTCTTTGGTCCTAACTTGATCGCCTGGGCTGCTCGCAAACAAGCTACAGTGTCCAGGAGTAGCACTGAAGCAGAATATAAAGCCGTTGCAAATGCTACAGCTGAGATCATATGGGTACAGTCCTTATTGAGAGAGTTGGGAGTTCCTCAAACTCAGCCGCCTGTCCTTTGTGTGATAACATTGGAGCTACATATCTCTCATCTAATCCAGTGTTTCATGCTCGGACAAAGCACATAGAAGTTGACTATCATTTTGTACGGGAACGTGTTGCACAGAAGCTACTCCACATCAAGTTCATCTCCTCCAAAGATCAACTTGCTGACATTTTCACGAAGCCTCTTCCACAACCTCAGTTTGTAGGCTGCAGGCGCAATCTTAACATACTTTGTACTTCAGGGCATAGTTAAGATTGAGGGAGGGTGTTAGACTGTATTTACATATAGCTTCTGTATATGTCTTGTATATTCTATCGTACACCTTGATGTACCTCTTATATATATGAGATAGCCACACCCTTAACGGGCGTCGTGCAGTTTTCCAAAACCTTGTGTTTAACACACGGGATGGGCGCCGCCGTGCCGTTGGAGATGGACAGGAAGCGCGGGAACTACGTCGAGGCGGCGCAGCTGGAGCGGGCAGTCAGGTCCCTCATGGGCGGCGGCGGCGGCGGCGGCGGCGAGGAGGCGAGGGAGAAGGCCATGGAGATGAAGCGCGCCTGCCGCAATGCCGTGGAACAGAGCGGTTCTTCCCACGCTTCGCTGCAGAGGCTCTCCGAGGAGCTCGTCCGACGCGCGGTGCTGCCCAAAAGAGGAAGCACTCACACCACGTGAACATAGTCGGATCTGTGCTTTTGCTTTGGGGAATAAATTCACCGCAGTTCTGGCTGTTTCTTTCATTTCTATTCTGTTTGGGGAATAAATTCATCGAGTGTCCACACACATGGATCCTCGTCCAACGAATTCTGCATCTATCTTAGCGTGTTTTATCAATTTTTATATGTCACGTAAAACTAAGCTGGTATGTGGGCATTTATTCGATCGAAATTGCTAAATCACATCTAGATGTTATTTAAAGATGTCACATCTAAATCCCTAATCATTGGATCTGTTTGCTGTAATTCTCATGTAAAATTCTGATCTCGTATTTTGTTGTCGTTGTCGCTCGTTGCATGGCCCGTACTTCTTTTTTTTGGGCCCATTTTTTGTTTCTGGCCCATTATTGTAGTCAGGCCAGTGAAGGGGCGCGCCGCTTTTTTTGTTTCGTTTTTTTTGAACTGCAGAGTGTGCTTCAGATGTTCGTGTCACATAGAAAGTTATTCTTGTCCAAAAAAAGAAGATAGAAATCTATCGTGTGCGCGTCCCTTTTTTTAGTCTGTCTGTGTGTCCACTAGGACCATTCTTTTCCTTTTTCGAGCTTCATTTTCCTGTCTATTATTTGTGTTGTGTTCGTTTATTGCCGGAATTTCATTTGTGGGCTATTTAGACATTTTCTCTTCTACTTTTTTCTTCCACTGCAATTATATGCTTTGTATATATACACAGCGCCGATGCATGTTTGTCTTCTGATTCGGGTTGTTTTTTGTTTGCTGTGTTATTTTTTGTTTGTTTTTTTCCTTTATCTATTAAATTTATTTGTTTCCAATTCATGGGTTTTTTTTAATTCTTTATTTTTTGGTGGTGTCTGTTACATGTCTATCATCAAATTCCCCGGACCCTTATTTGGTTTCGCGTTCAATATTAGCACGCAACTCATGCCCGATCTAGTTGCATGTCCACTTTCGACACGCAACTCGTGCTTGACACAGTATATGTATATAGTTGTTTGTCCAACTCTAACACACAACTCGTTCGACCTAGGTGTATGCCCATCTTCGACATACGCATCCAACCGAATACACCTATGTAGTTGCATTCCAACACTGACACACAATTTGCTCAACCCAATTGCATGTCCAACCCCAACACAAAACTCACGCCCGACCTAGTTGCGACACGCAATGTCCGAGGGTGTAGTTTTTCGTTTTTCTTCCTTTCCATTTTTTTGTTTCGAACCCATGAAGTTTTTCTAAATTCATGTTTTTTTATGTTCTCCTTTCAGTTTTCTGTTTCCTTTCTTGTTTTTAATTTTGATGTACTTTTTTAAAATTTATGATTTTTGTCTACAACTAAAATGGGGACAATTTTTTTGTACTAGTTGCAAGTCTTTGACACGCAACTAGGGGTGTGTGTGTTTGTTAAGGGTCCTCAGTTGCATGCCGATCATCGAC